TGACAATCCTAGAGTGAGCTGTACTCGCGGTGCTGAGAGCGGGCTCACGGCACTGCATGTCTACTGATGTTGCTCAGTGCAGATCACCTGCTGGTCAGTCCCGGAGTGAGCTGTACTCCCAGTACAGAGAGGCGGGCTCACGCCCTGCATGTCTACTGATGTTGCTCAGTTGCTATAAACAGTGTGAAAATTCAAGATCCGGAAAACAACTGAACACAATCACCATACCACGAGATAGCAAAAAATACAATATGCCCTAGAAACTGCGCGGCAGTAATTTACGACAGTAGCTACTGCTGCTGCTACTGCTTATCCACAAACCACTGTGTAAGGTGTAGTGTGAGTTTGAGTTGGCTGTCTAATGTCTGCTGCTGGTCAGTCATGACAGGTGCATTCTGAAAATGACAAGAGAGACGCCATTGTGACGCCAGAGACTGTCAATGGCCCAAGACATCAGCACTGAAGAGAGGACAAACACCTGGGCACGCACACACACAATGCACTACAGTACACAGTGTTGTAGAGTGTTGCAGTATAGAACAGCACAGTTACAGTAGCAAGGGAAAAACAAACTATTCCCTGTCTCCCACACACTCATACAGTAGAATAGTAGCTGCTGCTGTTGTTCTTGCCAGTGTGTGTACAGTGAAGTGTAGGGGTAGGTATGATTGTACGTACCATACCATTATACGCATGTGCAAGAGAAAATCTCTGAACAGTAAGTGAGTATTGAAAGAGTGTGGCTACAGCTACCTGTAGCTGATCTCTCTAGCTTGCTCTACTAGTAACTGTTGCCTGTTCTAGTGTAGCTATTGATTTTCCAACTGTGCATCTGCAGCATGGGAGCCCTAGCAAGCTCACTTCCTGCTCCAGTGAAGAAATACCATGACCGTCTGTGTGCTGCTTACAGCAATGTGCAGTTCTGCATTGAGGAGACCAATGTAGAGAAAGAACGAATCTTGCAAATGGATGAGCTTTATGCTGATCTCCATGTAGTGTCCAAGCAGAAGTTAAACACTAGGATGCGTGAAGCAGAGAGACTTGGCACAACTGCAGGCAATGAGCAGCTGGCTCATTCATTTGCGTCTGAAGCTAGGAAGCTGCGCAAGATGAAACTTGCTGAAATCCTCACTGTCAAGAAAGCCATGCGAAAACGCATGCGCGGGAACACGTTCCGCACCATTGCTTTCTCATCAGCTGGAGCAGGCAAAACCATGCTCTTCACCAAGAAGGGTCCGTATGAATGGGCAAGAGGGCATATTTGGCCACACATCGCTGTCCTGCGTGCACTGGAGCTGCGCTTGGCAGAAGTGCGCAATATCACAAGCATTGCTGAGCTGCTGGATTTGCAGAATTACGGCATCACAACAGAAGGTGAGCAGGCTAAGGTCATTGATTTTGTTTGCAATCATCCTGAGTCTGTTTGTATCATTCTCGACGGCCTCGACGAGATAGAGCTCGCTGACTGCAGCAAGTTCATGATCGACGTCATCCGTGGCAAAGAATTGCCGGGAATCAACCTGATCATCACGTCACGCCATTCAGCAGAAGCAATGAAGCTGACGCAAAGCCGCGAGATAGTCTTCCATCGTCGTCTGGAACTGCTGGGTTTTGAGAAGCAGGGTTTGGAGCACTACATTCACAATGTCCTGTCTCCAGACGATGCAGCCAAGTTGCTAGCAGAGCTTCGCACCAACCCGCAGCTGGCCACAATGATGCGCACGCCGTTTTTCGCCCATGCAACCTGCAGCCTCTACCGACACAACCATCGTCTGCCGAACACGCCATCTGCAATCTTCAACTCGCTGATCCTTCATATACTGAGCCAGCGGAAATCAAAGCCAGCGCATGATGATGAGCAATACACCGATTGGGACGATGTTCCCGATGACGTCCAGGAAAATCTACATGATCTCTCTCGGTTCGCTTTCAACATGCTCATCCGACGGAAAGTCGTCTTCACCGATGCCGATTTCAAAATGTTTTCACTGTCACCGGCATCTCGCACACTCGGCATGCTCATCGCCTGCGACACGGCATCACCACAGTCCAGGGCTCAGTGGCGTTTCAGCCACCTAGCACTTCAGGAAGCTCTAGCATCTCGCTACATCGCTAGCCACAGTCCGAGTGCAGCTGACGTCGCCTGGCTTGTGCAGCGCCTTGGAGCATTCACAGGCAGCCTCAACATGTTTTGGCGCTTACTGGCCACTGAGCTGGACAGTGAGTCCGTCAATGTGTTGATTGAAGCCATTGGAAATCCGCAGGCCAAATCGTCTACTCAGCCACAGGATACCACTCAGCATTCCACAGGAGCAGAGGGGCACAACGTCACGTGTTTTCTCTTCACAACACAAGACCACATCATGAAATGGGCCGACCACGTTTCCTCCTTTCTCTCCCTGGACGAAGCAGAGCATCTTGCAGAAGAATTGCTGGCTGGCAGGATCGACCTGGCGTCTGCTTCGGAAGTGGTCCGCCGCAAGATTGACCCAACCGTCACCAAAATCACCTGCCAGGTTTTCGTTCGTTCATTGCTAACCACCTGGATGGATCGCGTCCTGAGTGCCAGTTCACAAATTCTGCACGACTGGCTGGCCAACGAGGCACAAGGATCGGCCATTCGATGCTTCACTGTCACTCCCAAGTGCAGGCTACCTCCAGTTCCTCCATCCGACGAAGCAGCTCAGCCATACGCAGCCCATGCCCAGGCCAACGTCAGTGCAGCCGAACGAAAGCAACGAATCCTCTACGCCTTCCGGGTCTTCTCGGAGCATGTCAACGCCAAGCAAAGCAGCATCGAAGACATCCCCAGCATGCAAGCCATCATCAAGCAGTACGGAGTAGATTTCGACCAGGTTCCTCTGACACCCTCCGATTGCCAGGCCATCAACGCAGTCATGATTCACCACCACCAGTTCATCACCAGCATCAACCTGTACAACTGTGGTATAGGTGATACCGGGTACGCATGCATGGCTGATGGCATGGCTCTACTACGCAATCTTACGTACATCGACCTGCGACAGAACAACCTAACAGATCGTCACACGGCCCGTATCGCAGCGTGTATCGCATCCAACACGTCAACACTGCAAGCACTCTACACATCCCGGAACCTGTTCAGCAGCAATGCTATGGCCACCGTCCACAGCAACACACACCGCTGTACGCGACTGCTGGGAGTGACTCTTGGAGGTCAAAAGTGCACCGATCCAGCAGTCAATCTTGACGTCATCACCACAGTCTGCAGCAGCTGCCCAGATCTCCAGGTCGTCGGTCTCATTGACTACGTACTGGATATGGAAGGTCTAACCCAGCTAGCACCATTGTTAGGAGCACTGAGGCTGGGATGGCTGAGGCTGGACAAGGTTGGGATGAAGCAGAACTCGGCTAGGATCGTCAGTCGAATCATTCAACAGCAGCACGAGAGTTTGGAGATCATCGCACTCAGTCGCAATGAGCTAACCGGAGATTTCCTCGAAACCGTTCGTGGTGAGCTGAGTCAGTGCAGACGCCTAGAGCAGCTGTACCTGGACGACGACTGCCTCTCGTCGGGAGCTCTGCCAGTGCTTGCGTCCCTACTGCCCAGTCTGCCCAAGCTCTCCGCGCTCAGAATGGCGAGGAATGATTTCCGAGATGCTGACGATGAAGCAAAGCCGTTCGCCACCGCTGTCGAGAGCTGCTCGTCTCTGAAGGAGCTGCGGATGCCTGAAATAGCTCTAGTGTCTCCACGGCTGCGTGAGGCTCTAAGGGCCATGGCCAGAGATGATCTGAAAGTGCAGTATATGCGATTTCGCTACTACGACGAAGTGGAGAATGGCGAAGAAGAAGACGAGTACGACGATGAAGGAGATAGCGAGAGTGAGGAATGAGGAGGTGAGAGAATAAACACAGACGGATTTTTGTTCTGATGAAGAAAGCTTCGTGTTTGGTCTATTGCTTCCTCCTAGCATACAATCCGTCTGTGTATGTTCTTTGGAGTGCACGTGCGTATGTGTGTACATTCGTGGTAGCGCTTCTGCGGGTGCGTGTTTATACATGCATGTCTGTGTATATACGTGAGCGTGTGCGTGTGTGTGTGTGTGTGTATGTGTGTTTGTACGTTTGTGTTTCGACTGGACATTCCTTCCTTTTTTCAGTCAATTGGAATATTCACTGCGTTGACCTTTGACCTTTAGACTTTGGACCCTGTGATTGGATGTTTTCCTTTCTTCATTTTTTTCGATTATTGTGGACTGTCGCTGAGAGAATTTACATGATTGAACTATTCGTTTTTGCTGATGTGGTTTTAGTTGATATGTGTGATCATTTCTTTGAATGTACATGTACATATACATTGTATGTCTGTTTGTATGTTTGGAGATTGTTTAGTGAATTTTGTTTAAATGTTTCTTGTATAGAGTGAGTAGAAATGAGAGAATAGAAAACACCGATGAAAATGATCATTGATAACTAATATTCATAGCATCATCACCTTGCCACTCACATAGTTCATACTTGTGCATAGTGCAATGTCTTTACTGATCGCAGGTTTCTTGGCAAGTCTTTGCATCTAGAATACTGGTGTAATTTTTTTTGCAATTCAATACTTCCACCTTCTGTGAGAATAGTACTCTATGATGAGAGTTCTTCAAGTACCGGTATCCCTGTGTGTGTGTGTGTGCGCGCGCACGCACGTGTGTGTATTCGTGTGTGTATGTGTGTGTGTATTTGTATTATGAGCTTGTCTGTCTCTGTGTGTGTGTCTGTGTTTGTGTGTGTCTGTGCATTTGTCTGTTCCTATACATGTGTGTATGTATTCACCCATGTGTCTGTTTGTATGCATGTACGCACACGTGCTTTTCTGCTCACACGATTGAGATTGAGCGTATTCACTCTAACACATGACTTCACATGCCCTTGAGCACACTAGCTCAAAACCTAGTGTTCTCAAGGGCATGTATTTTTACTATGATGATAGTCATGTCTGAGTCCACAAGTCTGTAAGCTTCACCATTATGTTAGTACACACAAGCTGGAGTGCACACGTTAATAAGAAGATACATCAAAAAGTCAACACACTAATGAGTACAAATGTGAATGAGTGTACATGTGCATGAGCAAGCTAATATGGGAGTGGACAAGTGCGTTTGTGATCATGGGTGGGTGCATTCACTTCCAGGAAGCTTCCATAATTATAAGAACGTGATCCATATAAAAACCGCTCTGTGAGCGGTTCTGAAAAACGTTTACTGGTGCAGCCCCGTCGTAAAACTAATGAAATTAGAACTGGCCCATTATCCCCCCAATGTAAAATGATCCACCTTAATAGGAGAGGACGGGACCCGAACGCACCAGTAGCACGAGGTCGGGAGGGCACAGGATCACAGCAATACCATAGGGTTACATCACCACTACATGTATATATGGATTATTTCAGTTCTTTTTCCGTTCCCTGGCCCACCCCAGCCCCAGCCGTGAGGATAAGCAACACGTTCAACCACTATATGTTTCCCTGGAAACGATTGTAGAGCGGTCGCACCATGGACCACTGTACGTTCCCGTGGAACCGGTCAGTTTTAGTGTGGGTATCGTTATGGTCTCCAGCCTCAACTCGGTCCCGTCGCAATGGCACATTGGACTGCGGTGGTCAAACAGCCTGCTGTCCGCACCTGCGCTTGGGCTTGCGCAGTGCGTGGCACTGGCACGGCTCACCTGAGCAGCAACTTATGCTGCCCGACTGCGCATACACTCACGCACACACTCGTACACCCCTCATAATAAGACGCCCACCCAAGTATGCAGGATGGTAACTGGGCATTCCCACCAGGGTGGTATGTGACCACCCCACCGCCATTCAACACACACACACACACACACACACACACACACACACACACACACACACACACACACACACACCCCACACACACAGGAAAACACTGACACACACATAGAAAGAAACGCGAACCAATGTACGTACGCACAGACACACACACATGAAGAGGCAAACGGACAAACGGAAACACAACAGTACGCATTGTTGTAGAAAGGGGTGCATAAGCGCACACATGCACATCGCGGCAACCGTACGCCGCACCGTGGCCCGAGCATGTGCCCACATCTCTGTCGTCAGTGACGGGGCCTTCACGTACATCTTGCATTTTACACACGGTTTTCTACATAACATAACTCTCGATACAACATAATTTTTGCGTGGTCCTAGAGATTATGTTATTATGGAGAGTAGAACTATTATTATTAGGCCACCTAGAATTAATTCGTTGTTTCGGGTCACTTTACTGATCCGTACCAGGGGCGTTCGGTCGGGTTTATTTTTTATTTTATTTTTTATTTTGGTTTCCTGCCATGTATATGTGCATACAATCATGTACAGTGTGCATAGAGAATAGCTTTTGTCCATCAAGCCAGTCGATCAAATCATGGCTGTAGACGATCCAGCACAGTCATTGTCCCATCAGACCCAGGTCCCCTCCAGGACCAGACCTTGGCCTCGCTGGCAAACGAGTCTGAGGAGCAGCTCTCGCCTTGAAAACGGCTGTCAAAGAGCAACGCGGTGGCGGAGCTGGTGCTGTTTCAGGACCGATTGCGGATCGAAGATACATGTACTTGTAATAATAGAAGACAACATCGTCACCAAGCGCTGCATCCTGTCATTTTATTTGGCTGCTTCTGAGCTGAGGTCGATGTCTGGACTGCTATTATTACCAATATTAGGCGCGTGTGTACAGTCATGTACATGTACGTACAATCATAGTCTAGTCATGTACATTTGCATGCACTATAAATAAATACATTTTCCGGTCGGGTGAGAAAAGACGGTCGGTCGGGTGACCCGAAACAACGAATTAATTCTGGATGGCCTTATAGATATTTGGAACACCACCTGTTCTTCAAGTTAGTCCTGTTTTTCTCTGGGCTCAGCGCACACATGCATGCATGCACACGCACACACATACACACACACGGGCGCGCACGCACGCACACGCACACACACACACACACACACAGTACTCACTTGTGTATGCCGAGTTTCACCAACAGTCGTCTACAAAAGAGGAGGATGTAGGAATTTCCGATACCAGGCTTCCAAGTGCAGTTTTCAGCCCGCTCCAACGCCAAGTCCATGCACGGCAAACCGACAAGTTCCGCTATGACAGCTGAGAAGCAGTTACTCAAACTCAACCCGACATCCTGCACACGACTGGATAAGACGCGTCTTCCAGCTAGCTTGCTACCGGCACGCCGAGCTTGACGCTCCTCAAAGAAAAAGACAAACGATTTGCGGTATGCTGGAGCGGAGGCGAAGCCGAACCTGGTCGGGCGGAAATGGCGTTCCGTCGTAGAGATCCTCACCGCTTGTACTACTACTACTAGTACTAGTACGGGCACAGGTATAAGTCCACCCCATATGCTCATGTCGTGCCATCCAGCACGCAGCTGCAACAGGTCTTCAAAGTACAATGTCTGTACTCTGCGACGATGTACGGATATGGGGAGATGGGTGATGGACATGCCCGCACGTGTACCTGTGTAGAGTCTACGGCGGTATACGCGGTAGAATCTACGTGTACGTGTATGACGGATTGTTTGCTGTTGCTGTGTTGGCAGGTCTACTGCATGCAGCCGGTATGCGATATGACCAGGCGCTGTTCCGGTTTTCAGCGTTTTTGTTGCGTGCTCGAACCATGCCTCCTCAGACAGTCATGCTAGTCAGCTAGTCAGTGCTCTCCGAGGATCCGCGTCTACCATGGTCTGCGCTCGCCACGAACCAGGAAAGCCGGGTCATAGGACTCAACACGAGCTGTTGACTGTATTGCGTGTGAGTGAGCGACATGGAGAAAGCTCCAGTAGCTGTTACTTGCAGCAGTCTATCGTAGTATCGTAGTATCGGTCTTTAGGAAACCGGTGGGAAAGGTACAAGTCGACCCCATCGTCGGATGTCGAAGGCGGCGACGTCTTTATTCAAGAGCATCGTTTCTCTACTCCGACCGTGAGACGCGGACCAGGAGCCATACTCTATCATCATGGCTTGGATTTGGTTCCGTACGTGGCGTCTGAAGTATGCGCTCCTGCGTTCCACTGTGACGTCACTGACGTGTGAGCTTCCTCCCAGGTACAGTACTCGATGTGCATTGAATATTCGGGAGATCACCAATCAGTTTCCTGTCTTCATCGCTATCGAGGCTTAGATCCGTTGACTAAGTCCAGGGCCTAGGGGGTCTGCTCACTGAAACAGTATCACTTGGGACCAAGTCCAGGGTCTGCTCACTGAAACAGTACCGCTTGGGACCAAGTCCAGGGTGTGTTCAGTGTTCAATGAAATAATAATTATGCTGTCACAATATTATTATTGTGACCATGTTCAGGGCTGCTCACTGAAACAGTATCGTTCGGGCACTACTACTAGTGCCAAGTACTGTATTCGTAGTCGCGCTTGTTTTCGCGTGATTTTCTTCATTTATCTTTTCACTTGAGCTACATTGTAGGCACGAGTACTGCTTGCACCCATAGTCAAATACTATAATTATTGACCATAGGTCTGTGGGAAACACCCTAGTAAAATAAAAGTAATAATAATAATAATAATTAGAGCATCGCTAGCTACAAGCGAGGGTCCCTGGTTCGAGTCCTGGTGGTGACAGTCAATTTTTTCTTCAGACTTTTCCCGTTTGTCTCTTTCCCTCAAACTAGTGAAAATAATAATTATTATTATTATTACTTGCATGTACGCGTTGGAGTCAACCATGCAAGCATGATCCACAACTTCGCTTATGCTGAACATGATAAACAGGACTATGACAGGGGAAAGAAATTGAGCTAGAACGATGATACAATGATATAATTATCATATACAATGTAGCTCATGGGTATTGAAGATATGTCATTTATGAATATGTCTTTAATTATGTCATTGAATATTGCAGCCTGAGTGATAATAATAGTGCTATTTCCTGAGTTTGACTGTTTCAGGACCTGTCGGAATATCACGATGCACAGATCTTCATGCATAGATCTCGCCATGCGGGTCGGTCATGGGCAATGGCTCGCAGGCTCTGCAGAGCGTCTAAGTTCCCGAGCAATCCGGCATTGGCTTGGCGCAGATCTCCCACCAATGCCTGCGGCAGGGTCGTCCGCGGTCTACCCCTCCAGCATTTCTGTTGCTGATTGGCGAAGTACGCGAACATAGCCATAACAGCTGGAGATTCATCTGCCATCCGCAGGATGTGGCCAAACAGCCTCCAGCGTGATCTCTTGACCATGACACTCAAGGGTTCAGCTTCGCATCTGGCATAGAGAGCATCATTCGGTATTATTTGTGGCCATTTCACACCGATGAGTGACCTTAGCTGACGGCGGTGGAAGGAATCCAGGCGGGACAGAACGGTCACACTGACCCCCCACGTACCCGAGTTGTACGTCAGTACTGGAACAATAAAAGTGCTGTACAGCCGCAGACGCAACTTCTCGCTGATGTGCTGATGCCTCTTCCAGAGGCTCCATAGGGACTGAAATGCTGCAGTCGCCAGCTGTTTTCGTCGCATAATATCCTCTTCGTCGCCCAGCAGCGAACCCAGCTTGCGCGTTGTCCTCCACTCTTCATCGATCCTGTCCGCACTTCTGAAGATGTCCGTATACTCAGTTTTGTCCCGGTTCATGATCAGGGACCACTGTGGTAGCACCGTGCTGGCAGTCGCCTCCACGTCCGCCAGCCAGGACTTTGAGGTGCTGACAAAGTCTGCATCATCCGCATATACAAGTTCGAGCGGCAGACCGTTGTCGCTGAGAGGTCTTGCTGGCACCTCTTGCCTTAGTTGTCGGAGCGCAGCCTCCAGGTAAACCGTGAAGAGAACGGGGGAAAGGCAATCCCCCTGTGGCGTCCCCTTCGTTGTAGCAAATGATTCCGACTGGCACCTCCCAAGCTGAACACGAAGTCTGGTGTTAGAGATCAAGACCCTGATCAAGCGAACGTCATCGTCACTCAGAAACGCCTCCAGAACAGTCAGCAAGGTGTCTCGCTTCATCGTGTCAAAAGCCTTCGACAGATCAATGCCCAACAGGTGAACGGTGCTGTGGTAGCGCTGGGTCTTTGCCACAAGCCATCGATGCGCCCATACCACATCCGCGGTGGATCGGCCAGGGCGGAAGCCGCTGTGCGTCTGGGCTAGGTACTGGTCAACCTTGGGTCTGACTCGAGCTAAAGTGAGGAGTGACAGGGTCTTCCGCAGCGTGTTGAGAAGAACTATCGGACGTAAATTTGATGGTAATAATAATAATAATTAACATGCTACCAGGGAGTCGTATATACACACAAAAATACGACTCCCCGCACACCCCTAAACTCTTACATGATTGTACCAATCTTCACAAGAGAGATTGGAAGCTTTGTCACAACTCTGAGTTTCAGTATTACTACATTGCACGCGTACGATCAGCCAATCTACAATCTACCTGTATCTGAGAACAACAACCTGTGACGTCATCATATACATAATGTACATACAGCATGAACGTGTACGTACATATACGTTGACAGTAATACTACGAATACTGTAAATCATGAATATGTAACGAACAAGTAAATCTAACGAGTTAACGAGCAAAGATTTGTCGTTATTTTAAAATTCGTTACCAAAATTTGTATGATTTGGGCCTCGCACGATTGAAATCGATCATTTCACATTATGGCATGCAGCGCGTGTTCAACGGATCGTAACTCGGGCAATTCTCAACGGAATTCAACAATCGAAAGATCAAGATGATAGCAGAGACGCTCAGCAGTCGGCTCGAACAACTCCGAAGTCTCTCAGATGAATTTTGACGAAGCGGCAGGAGATCGAAAATTTGAGGTTTTTTACGCTCTGATGCTGGATAAATTTCATTTTCTTTATTCTCCTGACATCGAGGTATACTGTGCATGTGATGGACAACAATGAATGTCCTTGACGAGAATTCCTAGTATTATTGCATCTCTCTGAGAAAATCGTTAACTTTGCGGGTCGTTAAGATAATGATTTACAGTACTAGTAGTGGTCACTGTCAAGTGTCAACCCTCACAAGGCATAATAGAAATGGTCACGTGACTTGCAGGCTCTACGGGACAGTGTTAGTATTGACCTGCACCGCGGGTCCTGAGAGCTGCTAGTCACTCGTTTTATACTCTGTCATGTTATACTTGCAGTGGGGAATATTGCCAGCCTTCTCTCTATGCTTCTGATGCACTCTCAGCTACTGGTACTTGACATATTCATGTATTTTAGTGAGAATCAGTATACACCGCTTGAAGTATGGGTAATTCTCAGAAAGTCCCGTGGGAAGTTGTACACTGACATTTCAGTCAAATTGAAACACTCCAATGACTTGAGCTGAAAAGTGCACCTTGCCACGTACCGGAGATTGAAGGAAAGCAGAGACTCTCTATTACTGGTCAATTGCTCTACTGATAAGCAATAGGCGATACATAACCTTCAAAGTCCTATCAACCAAATGTTTGAAGACTACCGCACAGACAGATTGTGTGGACTCTGCCCAGAGTGACGCACTTTTCGTCCAGAAGGACACCCAGATATCATAATGTGCTGCACCATACACTGCTGTAATGTACGTGTCAGGAATTCTGTCAGAGTGAGTTAGAGTCGCGTGCGTGCAGTGAACAACGTGCGTTGACAAACCATAATGATCCAATGCACACCGTCTAGTAATGTCTTTACCGCCGTCCGTCAACTGTTCTCGACTTGTACAGGTAGTAGAGGGGATTTCCCCTATCCGAACACCTGACATGAACTGTATGTCTACTACACTGTGTAGTACTGGCAGTCCTGGGTGAGAAGAGCAAGGAGTCATACGCGCAGGTTATCTCCTTGCTGCGCTGTCGCCTTGAGTTTGCCCTGGTGCGTTGCGGTGCCATGTGCCTGCGTGGCTCAAGGAACATATTCGCTCCTGCCCTGCCTGAGTCCTAGGCTCGGGCGGATTATGCTCGCGAAATCATGGAATTATGCTATCATGGATTCTCGCATTATGCTCGCAAAATCCTCATAATATTATGCTTTCGCACGTGCGGATACATATTCACTTTGTTGTACTTATGGAGCCTCAAAGTTCGGAAAATTGTGCTTTTATCGTACTTGCAATTGGCCATAAGTACAACAAAATGTTACAGGAGTATCCCCATACCAAGGTGTCCCTGCATGCTAGAGATCAACATGGAAAAGAGAAAACATTACTTCTTCTCACTATTCATTGGTTGACTTCTTTTCAAAAGATTTTTTCTTGTCAAATTAGTTTGAGTTACCTTTGAAAAATATCATGTGCAACTGTCTTTGTGATTGCCATACTCGTCCAACCGATGTCACCCTCACCCTGCGAATAATCAGGTCATCTCTCCCGTAGCTCCACCTCTCCTTCCATCATGACCAAACATCAACAGTTACTATACCTCTTCAAGTTAAAAAATAATTATTATTAGAGCGGCAGAAAAATTGGCAGAATTCAGTACTTTTTCTGGTAAGTTTCATGCATGTTTGGTATGTGGATAAAGAAATGGAGCAGAATTCGAGGAATTGCCCGCCATACGGTTTGTATGGTTCTGCCAATTTCACTGCTTTTCGAGCAGAATCTGCCACCTTTTCGAGCATTATCCGCACACCCTACGTCATGGTACAAACCTCACACAATGAAGTCTAGACAACAATTTATAGCAATATCGAGTGAAATCATGAAACATCTCAATAGTCTATAAAGTGTTAGAAAGCGTACATGGCAGGAAAAGAGCTACTGTAGTAGCTGCATCCCCTGTACTACAGTCCATTCAGAAAAAGATGGACTTCTAGCTTTTGGCCATAAATACTTCCTCACTGTTCCCCAAACATTACTACTAACAGCACACTTAATCCATTAGCTCAGCCTTTTTACCCGCTTTCACAGCCAACCGCAGGATCACAGCCTATAATGTGCATCAATGCCAGGTCCATTAAGAACAAGACTGCCGAGCTGGCTCACATTTGTTCCACAGTTAAACCCCTCATTGTTTGCATAACGGAAACATGGCTCTCTCCACAGTCGTCTTTCACGGTCCCTGGATATGACTGTTTTCGCCGAGATCGTCCGCCAGATGAAAACAGGTCAGCTACCGATGCCACCCCTGCATATGGCGGCGTCTGTATCATGGTACGGTCTGGGATGTTTCCAAAGGTCACCCATCGATCTGACCTCAGTATCCCTCTCCTGGAAGCCACATGGGTGGAAATAGCCCTGTCATCTGCTAACATACATTTCCCAGAGGCGCCTCATGTGAAGAAGTTGGTTATTGGTGCAGTATATCGACCCCCAGCCCTTACTCCATCAAGTATCAACACCTTCTGCAATTCCCTCCAGCACTGTCTAAGTACTCTTAAGAACCGAACAACATCTATCATGTTGATGGGAGACTTTAATGCTAAGTCATGTCATTGGCATGGAACTACCACGGATGCCGCTGGTCGCCAGCTTCACAGTCTATTCGGCATGTTCTCTCTCACGCAGCTCGTAAATTTTCCAACACATGAGTCATTGTCTGGCATGGGGGCAGCTCTCGACCTAGTTGTCACTGATATACCGGATTCTATATCCTGCCTCCGTGCTACAGCACCACTTGGTCAATCCGATCATTCTATCGTGGTTGGCCACATCCGTACTGTACCCTGCCCAGAAATGCCCACATACCGTTCTCGTGATGCCCGCTCGACTCCCCTGGATGTCCCTGATTTTAGTGTATTTTCTTTGGATTCTCTAGACAGCAACACTGTCGCGAGTATGAATACTGCCATGTCCCACATACATTGGCCAGCAGCTTTGAGCCTGGAGAGGCGCGACCCTGACATATCTGTGGACAACTTTTACTCTATCTTCCATAACATCTGTGCAAGATTTCTGCCCAGGCAGAAGCCGCCGGCTGTCAAGCGTATCCATATGAACCCCCCCTGGCTGACCAGTACCCTCCGACATCAAATAAAGAAAAAACGAGATTCGTATAGTGTTTACCGAAAGTTTCCCTCGGCTGACAACTTCGCTATTTACAGACGAGAGCGAAACGTTACTCGCAATATGTCTCGAACTGCCCATCGACTGTACATCTCATCCCTAAGTGCATCCACGGCAAGACCCGCATCACCAAGTTTATTCCAGTTTGTCCGGAAGCTTCGATCTCCCCAAGGCAACAGCAGAACGACTGTAACTCAGCTCTCAGTCGCTGGTACTCTATATTCTGACCCTGTGGATGTGGCAGATGCTTTGAACGAACAGTTTATTGGTTTTGGAACACAAGATGATCCTTCATGGAATGTGCCAGACTTCAAGCCACCCGACGCCCCATCACGTGGAAGAACTACACCTACGTTGCAAGATGTCACCACCACGCCTTCTGCTGTGGCAAAGCAAATCCGCAACCTTAAGACCCGAAAGGCTGCGGGAGCGGACGGTATTTCTCATGAACTCCTGAAACTATTTTGTTCCAGTATTGCATACCCTCTCAGCCTCATCTTTAACCTCACTTTTGCAACTGGTGCTTTCCCTGCTATTTGGAAACACGCAATTGTAACTCCGGTCTTTAAGAACAAGGGAAGTAAGCTCGATGCATCGAATTACCGCCCGATTTCGTTATTGTCAACAATCTCCAAGCTGTGTGAACGTATTATGTACAACCACTTATACACTTACCTGTCTCCTGTTCTACATCCGTCCCAGTCTGGATTCCGAAAAGGCGACTCTACGTCCTGGCAGCTTCTCAGACTTGTTCAATCGATGTCTTCTGTTCGTGAGAACGGCCATTACAGCATGCTATGTTTCTTTGATCTAAGCAAGGCCTTCGACACCGTATGGACACGCGGGCTCCTATACAAGCTGTCGCGCCATGGAATCCATGGTACTTGCTTCACGTGGCTCAGTACTTACCTGACGGGCAGACAGCAAAGGGTGCGTGTCGGCTCTGCTCTGTCTGCCAAAGGGCATGTACGGTCTGGAGTTCCTCAGGGATCAATCCTGGGGCCTC